GCGCCGCCTACTTATTACGTGACTTCCGGTGGATTCAATTGGCGGTAACACTGCCTGAATTTGCGCTACTCTTATGGTGGTGTTCCCTACCGGAGTCGCCCCGATGGCAGCTAACACACGGCAAGTTCGCGGAGGCCGAGCGGGCTATTCGTCGGGCGGCGGAGGTTAACGGGAAGTCTACCGCCGACATCGACCACAAGTTACGTAAACTCATGGATAAAGCACTCGCCGTAAGCCATATATAATTATGATACCTGTGCGGCCCCGTTACGCGGTTGTGTCGGGTATATGTATGCGTTGTACTAAATGCCGTGGTTTTCAGGATAAGGAACAGGATGTGACCAATAAACGTGCCAATCTGTTTGATTTGTGTAAGACCAGGGTTATGATCAAGAATACGGCCATACTCTACTTTTCGTGGTATGTATTTGTTTTGTACATATATTTATTGGCAATTGTCTATTATATTAATTTTATATTCACTATATAGTATACACTGTTAAGTTAATTTATATAAAGTGTTTAAAGTGCTTACCTCATCCGATAAATAGCAATTTTCTATAATATTTATTTAAATTATAATTATTGTTCATAAATATTAATTAAGTTAAGAAGTGTTATTATATTGCAATAACTTATTGCCAATAAGTTTAATACCTATGAATGCATACAAACTTCAAACACTTTTAAACTATGTTTATAAGCAATCATTATTTTTAAGTGTAATTTTTATTTGAATCTTTACACAATTTTTAGCTCTAAATATAATTAGAAATTTTATTGAAAATATTTCTACAAGTTTGCTATGTACTGGTTAAATTGTATGCCATTTACAGCATTAGGGATACCAGTGCTCGCTTATATGGGTGTTTATTAGCCGTACGTTTCTCTAGAAAACAACAATATTTTTAGTTTTATTTTTGAAATGAATTTATTTTCGTCTGTATTTTGTTATTGCTTTGTGTTTCCGAGTAAAGCAAAAGTTGTCTGAAAACTGGAAGGGAAAGGGATGAGAAAAGTA